ATGTACATAGTTAAAAATCTGGGAGGAAAAAGAAAGGCTCATCATCAAGTCAGATGTGCTTTGATAGAACCAGGAATGGAGGTGGTGAAGGAAGGGAATTCTGCTCACAAGGGCTTGTGTGGTTTCAGTCTCCCATTGACATCTAATCAGGAGACCCAGCTTTTTTTATTTGATTTCCCATTTGGGGCAGATTGAGGAGAGGCAAAAATGCCCCACTGTTTGCCAGCACTCAAACATAAGTTAAAAGAGCCTGACTATCTATTTTTGTTATCAATGATAAGGAGAAAAAAAGAGATAACGATTCACTATGAGTGGATAACAGCCAGGTGTACAGAAAATGAGAAGAATGATTATAAGTAAAGAAATGCTGACAATAGACATGAACAGGTTCTTCGTTCAACCTGTTGAGTGGAATGTTTGTTATCCAATGCCATCGACTCTTTGGATGCCTGGGGTCAATCGACACATAGATTTTGTGGTTTCAAAGTGTCAATGACTCTACAGAGGCAGTGCCTGTTTCGTTTTCAAATATAGGATTGTTGCATGTGGATAACAATAATATATACAAAACAATAAAAATAAGTATAAGTTATGAAAAGCAAATGATGATCACTATGATTATGATGACGACGATGACAAAAATGGCAATGAACTGAGACAGAGCTCTTGAAGCAAAAAAAACCCTATGGATTCTCATACAGACACACCATCCCTAGGGCTTCACCAGGCAGGGGTGTCCCCTGTTTTCTATAAGTGTTCAGAGCTTTTATAAATGGAGTCCCAATGAATTATGACTTTTTGGTGATTCATGGTGTCACTAGATGAATAATGGCATAAAATATGTCTAATAACTAATTTTTGGACGTGTTACACTATTTCCAAATATAAAAAAGGGTTTGTGAAAATGTAAATATGGGTAAAAGAGAAATCCCTTTTCTGCCTACTCTCAATGCCATGGATCCTATTTCCCTTGATTTCTACCTGCAAAATCTTTACAATTTCTATTTTTGAAGAATGCCTGAACATAGCTATTTTTAGATAATATAATGTACCTCTAACAGAGCCTGTACTCCCTTCTTTGTCCTAATTTAAAAAGTCTTCAATCCCTTATTTTTAGTAACACTCTGTTCATGGAAAAAGCATCATGTTTCTTCCATGTGATTCAAAATAAGTCTAACATCCACCCCCTAACCTGTTCCAAAGTCCCTTCCAGAGTAGTGGGTAATTATTCAGGCAGAACTCCACTGCTGGCACAAACACCTATTCTTGAACCTATGGCTGCTGTAACCAATCAGCATGGACACCTATTACAATTAAAAATTGGGCAAAGGACCTTAACAGACACTTCTCCAAGGAGGACATGCAGAGGACCCAGAGACATATGAAAAGAAGTGCAGTGTCACCAGCCATCAGAGAGGTGCAGATTAAAACCACAATGAGATACCACCTCACACCAGTCAGACTGGCCATCATAAACACATCAACAAACAACAAGTACTGGTGAGGTTGTGCAGAAGATGGAAACCTAGTCCACTCTTGGTGGGAAAGCAGACTGATGCAGCCACTGTGGAAAACATTATAGAATTTTCTCAGACAACTAAAAGTGGAACTGCCTTTTCACCCAGCAATTTCACTGCTGGGATTATAACCTAAGAACCCTGAAGCACCAATTCAGAAGAACCTAAGTACCCCAATGTTCAAAGCAGCACAATTTACAATTGTCAAGTACTAGAAACAGACTAAGTGTCCATCAGTAAATGAGTGGAGCAAAGGAACTATGGTACATTTACACAATGGAATCTTATGCAGCAGAAAGAAAATTGGAATTCTTACCCTTCCCAACAGCATGGTTGAAACTGGAGAGCATTATGCTAAGTGAAATAAGCCAGGCAGTGAAAGACAAATACCATAGATCTCATCTATAAGTGGAAATTAAGCAACAAAACAAACAAGTGAGCAAAATATAACCATAGATATGGAAATAAAGAACAAATTGACAATAACCTGAGGGGATGTGTGAGGGGGATAATGAAGAAAAGAAGGGGAAAGGTCATCAAGGAACAGGTATAAGGGACCCATGGAGAAAGACAACAAAATGGAAGATTGAATGTTGAGGGTGTGGTGGGTAGGTTAAGAGATAGCAATGAGGGGAATTAGGACACTATAACTGAGAAACAGTAAAAAATAAAAAGTAAAAAAAAAACAAAATGTGAGAACAGTATAAAATTAAAGAAAGGTATAATGGAGGTTGGTCATTTTCTGGGGAGTTTTTTAAACAATCAACAGATAATTCATTACAAATATTCATAACTTAGACTTTGTTAAAATTAAATAAATTTGTCCCAGCAAAGATCCACTAAGCACTTAAGAAGATATAATTAAAATCACATCTCTGATGGAAGGCTGTATTTAGTATACACTAAGGAAATTATATGTTGTGTTGGACAGCCCAGCAGCCTCTACCACAGTGACCATCACCAGGAACAGAGCCAAGGAAGGCTGGGAGTCAGGGTTTCCTGTCCAGTTGAAAGAACCCATTCCTGTGATCAAATCTATGTTAGAAATTCCCCTTATTTCCATCTTTCTGAATCCCAACTTCACTGACAATACTAGGCTGAGAAAACAGGTCAGGTAATCAGCTGTCATAATCTTAGATATATGAAGAATTTTGTGTTGTACACATACATAATCACCATTTGCATTTGCAGTTTTTTCTTCTGTATTTAAGAATGTGATTAGTTTAGAGTCTCTGCAATATTTGCAGATGGGAAGGGTTTGCACAGGGAGCTTAGACAAAAATCACATTTCCAACATCAACAATCAAGAATGCCCCAACTGTCTATGCTTCAGAGGTAGTTTCCCAGATCACAAAGATGCATGAATGAAGAAAAACATCTCTTTGAAAATGAATCTGTTTATATTTTTTCTACCCCAGAGTAGACATTATGATAAACATATGTGGATATTATGGATATACTAGAGTTTTGAGATTCAGGAGGTATCTGAAAAATGATAATAAACATTTCCAACCTGTTAAAAGATGCAAGAGATTTTAAAAGCTGTCACTGGCTCACCTAGTCAATAATTTCTTCTTATGCCCAGAATGGTTAAGTTGTCCTTTGAACAAATTCCAATGGGTCTCATAAACCAGGAAATCTCCTATCTCCAGCATACATTCTGGACTTGAAGGGGTGCTTAGTACCCTGAAGCCAGAACACCCAGCCCAGGAGCAAGTGCATACATATGTTGATCCTTGGGCTACTATGTCGTCTGGGGTTTCCACTTCATCAGACAATTGCTTGAGCATCTTCTTCAGAGTCAGGATTGGAATTCTGACAGAAGAGACCTCTCAATAACAAAGGGAAGCTCTCTGGCCCAGTAGTGTTGGTAATTTACCAAACCCACTGAACACAGAATTAATGGCTGCAACCCCTGTCAAACCATGTCGGCCAAAGAAGCTACACTCGTGGAATCTGATGCCCACACACAAAGGCACCAGGTGGAGGTCAACTCTGGCATAAATGAGGTCTCAGAAGGGCTTGGAAGGCCTCTCCAGAGGTGGTGAAGTGGCTTCCAAGAGCTGGGCAAGGAGTTTATCTCAGAGTTCATTGTGGCCAGAGAGTGAAGGCCAGGGAAGGTTCTTGTGTTGGGATGGGACCTGGGTGGATTGACTGTCCTACTAGGCAAAAGGAGTGATCCTCCAGGCTTTCTTATCATCATGCACAGATGAGGGAACAAGTGGATGAAGAAGGATGAGATTTAAACTCCCAGATGTCCAGCATGAAGACCTGTTCTACTGAGGCTGAATTGTTCTAACGAGGAAAAGAGAAATTGACAGCCATTGAAGAGCACAAGAATCTGTGATTATGAGCAAGCAATTAAGAACAGGCTAGAGGTTAGACAAAGTTCTTGGAAAATTTTGAGTGGCAGTTTCCACTATATGCAATATTCTCATTGCACCAAAGGTGGTAGGTCAGCTGCTTACTTCCTAGGATTGCACTTTTGGATTTCACAGGGTCTGAGTTAGACATCCTGCACTGGAGCCCTTATAAAAGGTCTGGAATTCACATTTCCTCTGTAAGCTGTAACTCAAAGACTACCTGGAGCTTAACTATTATTTTGTCGTTAACATACATGATGACTTCTTAACTGCGAGGCTCAAAATCCTTTTCCTCTGGTACCTCATTCAGTATACAAATCCCAGTGTAGTGATTTCATAAAAGATAAAACCACTTAGCAATTTGGATTCCCTCCACCTGTAAGCTGCACCCATCATGAGTCACCAATCCCTTTCCCAGGACATCAGCCTCCAGACACCCTTCTCCCAGGGTGTCAGGTGAACAGAGGGATGGCAGGTTCCAAAATGACTCCTTATGACCAGGAAGCAGGTCCCATCATCCATGCACATCTCAGAATGTCTGCTGTCCCTGAGTCACTGTCTATGTATTTCTGGGAGAAGGTGAGTCCAGGGTCTCAGCACCCCATGTGGTATAGGAACCTGGGGGGCTTCTTGAGTGTCTCACCTGTAGGAAGGGGTACACTGCCCTGGAGGAGGTGGGATGAAAGAAGGACACAGTGGATCTAATCCTTGTCTCACCTGGGGAACCTTGGATGACCTCTGAGAAGCAGATATTAACCTGCATGGCCTGATCCCTGGATCTGGACTGAGGCAAAGGCTGCACCTGCCCTGCTACCTGCAGGAGCTGGGGCCTCAACCAGGGCAAAAAACATACTGTTCTTTGCAATTATTTTTACATATCATTTTATAAGAAATTATGATTATCCAATCTGTAACCATGAATCTACGTAATGAGTTTCCTTGTACTCGTGAAGATGTTTGTATATAATGTTAATCCATTTTATTAATGAATTGAACAACCCAATATATTAAAACAGTGTGAACCTCCCGTCCAGTCCAGCTTTCCTTTTACACATAGAAAGAGGGCTGTCCATTGACATGACTCAACGGTGTCTCAATACCCCCGCTTCTCTTGCTTCAGAACTACACCACCAACTCCAAGAGAAGAAATGTGCCAGGGACCCAGAAGAACGTGGGGCTGTGACCTCAGCTACTCCCCACTGATAACAACAGAGGGTCCCACATGCAAATTTCTCTACTAGATCAAGGTTAAATTCTTCCCTTGGGATGTGGGTGCTGACATCTCTCTCCTCAAACAGGACAGAGGTATCTGGGGAAGGCAGAGCTGTGATCTAGAAGAAGATGACACTGCTGGGTCTCCTCCTGTGCTTGGTGACAGCTCCCTACGGTAAGTGTCTAAATGTCAGACAGGTGTCTGTGGGATGATGGTGACTGGATATGACTGGCAGGGACTAATGTTCCTTGTCCCCAGGTGTTCTGTCCCAGGTGCAGCTTCAGGAGTCAGACCCAGGACTGGTAAAGCCCTCACAGACACTCTCCCTAACTTGTGCTGTCACCTGTTACTCCATCACCAGTAGTGGTTACTGCTGGAACTGGATCCGCCAGCCCCCAGGGAAGGGGCTGGAATGGATTAGGTACATATGTTATGATGGAGGCACTTACTACAGCCCATCCCACAAGAGCCGCACCTCCAACTCCAGAGACACATCCAAGAATCAGTTCTCCCTGCAGCCGAGCTCTGTGAGCAATAAGGACTTGGTCGTGTATTACTGTGCAGGAGACACAGTGAGGGCAATTCATTGTAAGCCCAGACAGAAACCTCCTGTTCGGAGACAGGAGGGCTGGGGACATGGTGGGCTCAGGGCACCAGGGGTGCTCAAGACAACAGCAGAGACAGTGGAAAACTACACTGAGGCTGCTCCACAGACTCTGACAAGGGACCCTTTTTCTGGCTATCTTGTTCCTGCATCAGTACCTGCTCCTGCTCCTAAAAAGACACCCACCTTGTCCATCCTGGCAATGCCATTGGGGCCCCATATCATGCACTTTGAGAATGGGGACCTGTGGCTGTATGCCAGAGAGACCCCCATACATGTCAGGTCAATGCTAGGTACACTGACTGGAAAAGTGTACCCTGGGTCTGTCCCTCTCCAGGGCAATCCAGGACCTTCTCACCACAGACTCTGCAAATTCCAGGTGCTGGGAGATCAAGAAAACACAAAGGTGGGCAGTTTTCTGTCTTCATATGAACCATCTTTTCTTTTGCTCTGTTATCAAAGTTTGTCAGTCACTTGGTTTGGGTTAGTGTGTGGATCCTGCCCACATGGTAGGAACAGGGGAGAAGGGAGAACTGAGTTTATTATCATGAACATCACCACTGTGTGTGTGTGTGTGTGTGTGTGTGTGTGTGTGTGTATGATATTTATTGAACAGGATAAATGTAGTGGAATTAGGGCCACATGGAAGGGTACTCAGATGGGACCTGCAAGCAGAAGAATCTGAGGACCTCAGAGATCCCAAGAACCCCTGAGACCTTCTGGACATAGGGATGTTGGCTAGGTCAGTGACTATGGAAATTCTAGCACAGGGGTTCCCTTGTGGCTTTAAAGTGCTCTGGGTTGGAGCTCTCTGTAGAATCACTGGGGCTCAGTATGGCTAGTTCCCTTTATCTTGAGATGTATAAACACATTGTGTCCCTAAGGCAACATCTTGAAGTCAGGGCTTAGATTTTAAACCTTCACTAGAACCACTGAGAGGGAGGCCCATGCTCTGTGAGTCCAGACAGGACCCTCCACTGCCAGGTTTGGGCCCATGTTCTCAGGCTGCTTATTCTGGTGCAGGCAGAGAGGGTGGTGATGAGGGATTTCCTCTGAGTGCTTGGCTCTTCCTCTTTTTATAAAAAAAAACACACTCAAATATAGGTTGGGCGTGAGATGAGTGTAAATATCCTATTCTATCTGAGCATTTACCAAAATCGATAAGACAAGAGAAACACAGTCAGTGGGGATATTTATTGGGCTTCTTTATATATGAATGTTAAGGAGCTGGAGAGAGGAATGGTTTTTTCAGTTTATTCAGTGCTGCATTTTGAAGACACACTGACCACAGGGATAAAACCTACAGCAATTAAAGCCAATAACTGGTCCATGGGTCTCTGTGTTACTCAAAGGTGAGTTCTCAATGAGGAGCATGTCCTGTTGGGGCTTGTTCCTCAGTGGGAGAAGCTATGTCTGCACAGAGCTCAGGGACCAGGCAGGGGACTAATACTACATAACACTGATTAAACTTAGACTCTGAGTCTCCCAGTGAGCATGGTTTCTGTGTCTTCTACTCTCTCTCAGGTGAAGTCAAATAGCCAGCTATGAAGTCCTCTGTGTCATCACTGTGCAAATGAGAAGAGATAGACTAGGTTTAATATGGGTCTCTCTGTGCCCTGAGAGCATCATCCACAGCCATACCCACCCTTCCCTCCAGAAGTCCTCATGGCACAGCCCTCCAGCATGGGCTGGAACTGGAGAGCCCTCTTCTTTGTGGTAGTGGCTATAGGCAAGGGGATACCCAGTCCCAGAGGAAGAGACCATAGACACTCATTGGGTATTTCAACCCACTTCTGCCTCTCTCACACAGGTGTCCATTCCCATGTGCAAATGGTGCAGCCTGGGGTTAAGATGAGGAAGCCTCAATGAGGTTCTCCTGCAAAGATTCTGGATATACCTTCACCACCTACAATATGAATGGGGTGCAGCAGGCCCAGGAGCAGGTCTGAAATATATGGGTTAGATCAACACAAACACTGGGAAACCCGCTGTTGCCCAGATCTTCTCAGAATGATTGTCTTTCTCCAAGGACACTTCTGTTAACACTGCCTAGCTGCAGATGAAGGACCTGATGTCCTAGGATGTGACTGTATATTACTGTGCAAGAGTCTGAGTGTGATGATCCACATTCTCAGTGTGTCACAAACCTTGAGAAGCAGAACAGCTGGACTGTGCTGATAAGATGACATGGTGATGAGCCTCCTGACTTTCTCACTCACAGTTATGGTTCTGAGACCAGGACATATTGAGCTGCAGGTGCCAAATCAGAAATTAAGGGAAAAGTTTCAAAAGACCAGCTGCACTGCAAGGGAGAGGCTGGAAAGGGACTTCTGAAAGGAGGGCTTCTGATAAACCACTTAATCTGGTTTATGCAAGGGGTACATTGGGAGCCTCCTTGTTCTCTAGAAGGGTGTTCATAGAAGTGTCATTTGGGAACCTTGGATAGGGTCAAGTGTGAGAGTTTGAACTGTAGTGACTTTCCACCAAGTTGTATGAAATCCCCTATTTCTGAAAAATGGCAGTGTGTAGTTAAAGTAAAAACATGAATGTCAAGGAAGACTTTCTATGCCCTTGTCTCTGGATAATCATCACAGAGACGACATCCTGGATGCACAGTTGAGAGTTGACAAAGTTCCAGATTCCAGCAAAGTCTATGACATCACAGCGTTCTATCAATCCTCTCTCAGAGGGAGATCCTGAGAAGTCTCCTCACCTGAGACTACAGCTTTGTAAGTTTCCCTGTACCTAGGCAATATTGGTCATCACACAGCAGGCAGGGTGGGGACACCCTTGACAATGGGAGACCACATACAGCCTGTTCTACATTCCTAAGACAATGGAATCTATTACCACACACCACTAGACTATTTCTACACATTTATTCCTACACAATCTGCAGGTTGGAGCATGAAAACCCTTCTCTGGACTGAGGTCAAGGTGGTGGAAGAATCAACCTTTCTCTAGAAGCTCTAGGGAAGTTGTGTGGACAGAAAACAAGGGTTCTTCCAAGTTTATATGTATAATTCCTCATTCCCCAAAGAGGCTAATATTAAAATGGGGATTTGGGGGATTCTTAGGTCATGAGAGCCCCAAGAAAGTGGTTACTGTTTTTCTCAATAAGTTCAGAAAGCTCGCTGATGATATTGGGTGCCACCACATGAGGACCCAACAAGAAGCTATCTGATATGAACCAGGAAGGGAGGCCTCACCAGAAGGCACAATGGTGATATAACCAAAGGCATGTCTGGCTGCCGGAAATTTCAAAAGCTAAAGCACAGAAGTCAGGAATTGCTGTAAGTGAGAGTCATTTTATTCAGGTGCTGGCAACCATTAATATCTCAATTAAGGATGGATTTTTTAATGAAATATAGTAACAAAAAGAAATGAGGTAATGAGGATAGGCTGTGGACATGCAGGTAGTGCCCTTCCTGGTCCCAATTCAGAACTTTGCTGCCATAGTTCTGGAATTAGTTGGTGCCAACACAATTTTTACTGTTGGTCCACCTGTGCCACCTAAAACTGTGGTGATTTCAAGGTGGTTTCTTGTATAAGCAGGATGGGAACTGAGGGCACATGCAATATGCTTTAAGAAAAACTGTGTGTATCATTTTTTTAAAAGTTAGTACTATTTCTGATTCCATTCCAAAGTAATTCTCAGCAATTTAAAATGTTTATTTCATGTTTCAATTTTCTGATGTCAATTCTTCCCCAACATGTATAGAGCTATTGATGCATCGTGAACCTTCTGGGGGAATGAAACACCTGAGCCAGTAGGGAAAACAAAACAAAACAAAACAAAACAAAACAAAACAAAACAAAACAAAAAACCTTGTGAGTTAAAAGCAGGTATATTTTTAGAAGTGTCTGTCTAGCAGATTCTATTTTTCTGGCTTGGGAAAAGAAAGTCATAAAGGGCTACACAATAATAAAGACAAGCATTATAAAGCACAGAATGTTAAATCTAAATTTAAAATTCCTTCTCTATGGACCTCAGCCCCTGTAATGTCCATGACAATGGTCTCATAAACTAATCCTGAGTTCCCTCAAAGAGAAGGGTGTGATGGTCCAATGTTTGTTCACACCAGGTAGATTGCTCCCTGATTTAGGTGATGCATGCTTCCATCCTAGCTGAGGCGTCAATGTAACATCAACAGGAGGAGTAAGTGGTCATGTAAACTCCTCCTTATTCTTAGTATATAGTCTAAGGCAATTTGATTATCTAAGACAATTCTAGTTAGAGAGTCCAGAGATTTCTGAATATTAGAAAGTGAGGTGTCTGATTTATTGGCTATTGTGGTTAAAGTCTTGAAGAGATTCTGAAGTACATGCTGATGTGCAGCTGCTCCCCACCAGGGTAATAGAGTCC